TATATATATATATATATATATATATATACATACGTATATGCATATATATATATATATATATATATATATATATATATATATATATATATATATATATATATATACATACGTATATGCATATATATGTATATATACATATATACATATATATATATATATATACATACGTATATGCATATATATATATATATATATATATATATATATATATATATATATATATATATATATATATATATATATATATATATATACATACTTATATGCATATATATATATATATATATATATATATATATATATATATATATATATATATATATATATATATATGTATATATATACATACTTATATGCATATATATATATATATATATATATATATATATATATATATATATATATATATATATATATGCCGATATATGTATGTGTGTATATGTGTGTGTGTGCGTTTATGTATGTACATACGTACATACATACACACCTACCTACACATACGCATATATAGACATATACATATACACATGCGTATGTACTTACATACTACATTTGTCTAACATAAGTCAAAACAGCACAATTCAATACCACTCTTAGCAGTAAGCCTGTACCACGCTGCCATGCACAATAAGCACCTTTGTCTGTGTTGTATATGTCTAGGTTTCCTGTGGTCTGCCCAGTGATGTATAGAGCTGCCTACTAGATTTGTTGTAAAAAAAATAATAATAATCAAAAATTAAGAGTCGTGATCATAGCAAAATGCATCGCCGGGTGTGTCTGCTTTCAGTTTTGGTTTGCAGTAAGCAGTTACTGTGGTCCAGTTTGACTTTGTCTCTTAAAGGCATGGGGTGATTCGGTCTCCAATGTAGAGGCTCGTCTTAAAAAGTTTATTCCATTTTTTTCTTTCATTATCATTATCGTTTGTTTACTCTTGAGAAGTTGTTGGTGACTGCCAGAATACATACAAGAAGCATCATTATTAAGTTAATTATCCTCATTAACTTGTCATTCTGTTACCAGTTATCATCACCTTCGTCTTAGTTTAAAAAAATGATCTGTTAAATCTTGACAAACCCTTTACCACCAATAATTTGAGCCTCGGAGTTGGGAAACTAGAACGTCTAGTCTAAAGCCACAGCAAAAAAGTCTGGTCCTTGATTTTTTGTATTATTATCATTACTATCTTCTTCTTCCTCCTCCTCCTCCTCCTCCTCCTCCTCCTCCTCCTCCTCCTCCTCCTCCTCCTCCTCCTCCTCCTCCTCCTCCTCCTCCTCCTTCTGTCGTCATTTCCTCTGCGTCTGCGTTGACTGATGACGGACTACTGTCATGGCAGACTTACTTAGGAAAGATCTCCGCCCAAGTGCCTGGGTGCGTGAGATGTTTGCAGTGTGTTGGTGCTTTGTGTGACCTCCTGTGCTTTGGTCTGCTTGCGGGAGGTCCAAGTACAGCCGCAGATGTTGCTTCGAGGAATAGTGATTGAGAACCATTTTTTTTTAATAGAGTTTTTGCTCTACTCATAGGTAAAGGTACTGTTATGGTATTTCTTGTGGGAATCCAACCAGGGAAATCCGAGAGAAGATAATTTTTTCTTTTGACATGCGTTTAAGTATGCGAGATGTTCAAAAAGAGGCTATCAAATTAAATCAGGTAATGCTGGGAACTACGGGAGGAGTATAACAGTACCATTACCTGAGATGCATAGGAAAGGAAATATGTGCAATATACGAAAACAAACATGCAAACAGGGTTTCTCGCCATGCAAACTCTGTCTGGAAGGAAGGTACAATTCTTAATAATAATCAGCGATAACTACTTGCATATAATTCCGAAAACCATCCATTTATATTCTGAACGACTGACATTCTTCTGATATATTGTAGCTAGTTATATCAGCAATAAAATGCGACAAATCATTTCTTACGTCTTACATATTCTTTAGAAAAAAAAATCCGAAATATTTTAACTCCTGAATTGAGAAAATTAAATAGCGTATTCTAAAGGGATGCTTTCTCATTCTTGCTCTTCATTCCACACATTAATCACATGACACCCAAAAAGTACTGTCATTAAACAAACTTAAGAAAACAAATGAAGATCTCTGCCATGTTGAAAATCCAAACAAAAAAAAACACTTCCATGCTGAACTGAAAATCTAAGCAAAGCAAAGTATATTACACCGAAACATTTTGCAGATCAACAAAATTAAGGAAAAAAAAGTAATCAAGCTTATTTAAGTCAACAAATAATACAAAGCAAAGCAAAATAATAATAACAATGAAATCTAAATATAAACATAACTCCACATCAAATGCCAAGAACAACAATATAAGAATCCATCTTGCAACATACTTTATACTTACAGTCCTTCGAGCAATCTTACCTTCCAAAGTTCTCTCCATCCTCTATGGTTTCTGGAAGACGTCGGTTGAGTGTCTCTGGCAGCAGGAGAGACAGAGTGCCAGCCGCGAAGGCCATGGCGCCGAAGATGATGAGGGGCAGCGGTTGCCACTGGTCGCCCTTTTCATGAGGGAGAAAGATTTGGCGTGACTTGACTTTCAGTTAGGGATTTTTGTGTGTGTGTGTGTGTCTGTGCTTGTATTGGGAGCTTTATCGGTTCATTTGTCAAAATCTTTTGGGGAAATTTATCGTATTTTGTTACGTTGATTGCACATACACGCAAATATATTCAAGTACACACATAAACACACACAAAATTCGTCTGCAAACACCAAAAATACAATGATAACAAAATAACAAGGACCAAGAAGACCGGGCAGACCCGAACGGCGACTCACCAGGAGGTTGACGAAGGGCGCAAGAGCCCCGCCCACCCGCGCCACCATGGACGACGCCCCCACGCCCACGTTGCGCACCACCGTCGGGAAGATCTCGGCCGTCAGCACGTAGATGATGGCGTAGGAGGCGGTGATGCAGAATTTGCCGAACATGGACGTGCAGATCAGCAGCCACGTGGTTCCTGGAGGGGGGTGAAAGGGGGGAGATGGGGTAAAAAATTGTGGCGATTTTTGTTTGTTTGTTTGTTTGTTTGGCGTGGTGTAGCAGTGTGCGTTTTTGTATATTTAGATTGGTGTAGATATATAGGCATAGAGACAGATATAGATTGATAGATTTATAATCAGATAACTGTTATCCTAGTAAGAATTAAAATCATAATTAACTCATTACAAAATAAATACTTTTGTATCAGTTCAGTCTCAAACACTAGACTCGGTTTACACACACACACACACACACACACACACACACACACACACACACACACACACACACACACACACACACACACACACACACACACACACACACACACACACCCTCTTCCCCCTTTTTACGCCCTCACCTGCTGGAATAAACATGGTACTGAGCAGGGACACGCCGCCGAGGAGCAGGAAGGCACAGAGGGGGATGCGACGCCCTACGCGGTCCAGCAGGAGGATGGTGAGGGCGTGGGCGGGTAGTTCGACGGCTCCGCTGATCATGAAGTTGAGATAGTCATTCCCGCCCAGGTTGCCCGTGTTCAAGGACAGCCCGTAGTATACCCCGCTGTTGACGAACCTGCGGGAGGAGGAGGAGGAGGGTGGTTTGGTGGTTTGGTGGTTTGGTGGTGATGGTGGTGGTTTGGTGGTTTGGTGGTTGGTCTCAAGGGGAAGTGCTTATGATGGGGGGGAGGGGGGTATTTGCGGGTGAAAATGGTAGTTACAGATGGGAATGTATGTGGTGTTCATGGTTGCAGAAGTAACGGTGAATACAAAAATGGGGTGTTATTATTTATGGTGGTGTTGACAAGGCCTATGATTTTGGTTGATAACGGGTGAAATAATGATAATGGTGATTGTAGTGGTGGTGGTACCAAATGCGTAATGAGAATAATCTTTTATATGAAACTGCATAAAAAAATGACGCTCCTCGTCAGATATATTTAAACTTTTTTATGAGTCTGATTGAGGACTTTGTATTCAAAACGTCACGTCTTTATCCAGTTTTTCTTTTGTTTCGTTTCATATGTCTGTAAACGGTTTTGTGTTTGTGTTCAGAATAATGATTTTTGTTTTAATGAAGCGAGTGTTATTTTCGCTTGTCATTGTTAACAGATATAATATGATATAATGATAGAAATAAGAGTGACGATGTTATAATGGCAGTGACGAAACAGCTATTATGTCGATACCATCAGTCAGTATTAGCAGAGATAATTAAAATAATCTAACGGTTACAGCCTTGACATTTACATTGGAAAACCTGCTGAACACGTGATCAGGAAGTGATACATTATACATAAACACTAGATAACAATCACAAATGCACATCATTTCATATTACATACATTAAAAAACAAATACATGTTTTACAACGGAACATGATTTTGAGCTTTAATACCAAATGAAACAAGAACGCAAGAAAAAGGTGTATATGTTTAGGGTAAAAAAATCACCTATTCTTATATTAATCCAAACACGCAAGAACAAATAAGCACTTGCACAGATTCTGAATCGAACTGTAGGTGCCAGAAATATGTCCGTTTTGAATTTAGATATTAATGCCAAAAAACAGTTAGACATAAAACACTCACAATGTGTTGGTGCGTGTATGTACATATATATATATATATATATATATATATATATATATATATATATATATATACATATATATATATATATATATATATATATATATATATATATATATATATATGTATACACACACACACAAATATATATTGAGTGTGTGTGTGTGTTTTAATATTTATCACATACAACGGAAACACCAAAATGCCAACCAGTTGAAGAAAATGTTGAGCGTCTTCCTCCTCAGATTCGGGTAGCGGAACAGGTCCAAGAAGTTCCCTTTCCCCGAGTCCTTCGCCGTCTTCGGGAGCTCCACCACCTGCAGGATCATCTCCTCCGACACCTGGCGAGAGTTCAGTAGTCGGTTACTTGAACTCGTTAATTAAGGGTCAGCTGATTACGCGAGACTGG